GTTGAGTACTCTCTAACTACAGTAGTGGCCCTACTTGTACATGTATGCCTGAACACATTAATTAACTCATGCAAAAGAAGTGGTGACTGCATAAAACGTGTATTGTTTCACAAGTATACACTTTCAGTCAGAGAATGACTACGCAATACGGATCTGATTTATCACAGCAATTTACATTAAAAATTAAATATAACATGAATTAATAATTGCATAGTATTAAGAAAACAATTTTTTGTGATAAAAATATTAATAATAGATGTAACAGTGCACACGATTTTAGGAAGACCTAAGACTTTGCTTTGAGGTTTTAAAAATTAACATTACTTTTACCGTATTTGAGCAAAGCCCACTAAAACGAGAAAGATGTTGTCTGTACGGGGATAGGGTCGTCCAACTAATACTAAAGTTAAGTAGCCTAATCTTCATTAAAAGTGGGTGTGGTCACAATGAATTAAAATGGCGGCTATCAGCAAGTCTGGGCTTATTTGCAGCAAATGCTCAGCAAGATTAGACTAAACTGAGTCCAAATACTTCACTAGCAGTAAGATGGGTCATAAAGCACAACAATAGAGTGGCTCAGGGGCTGAGCCCTTCAATGTTTTACATTCTTCTACTTTGGTTTATCATTCTAGCTTTTGAAAAAGAATAACACATAAAGCTCCAGTTTCATAATAATTACTTGCATCAAATAAGACCAAATGAGAGTTTAATTTTAGCTGATAAAAATGAAACGGACATAACTCAGAAAGAACAAAAATACACAAAAAAGAAAGAGAGAAATAAAACAGATTAATGAACTATTAGGATTATATGAAGTCTAGGACTGTAGGAGAAGATATGTACATGTACATGTAACCAAACACTCATCTTTATTACAATGGTACATACAACACAATCACACAATGGTATTACAGTACACACATACAACGGTACTCTCAAACATCACACACATACCACCACATTTACAAAATACAGAAAAACAAAAAAAAGCAAAAATTATTAATCATAAGTACAAGTCAACAACGAGAAATAAAAGGCAGTTATTAGAGTTGGCCATGTTAATGTAAAATGTACTATATCAATATCAATCATCACAAAGTGTTGTCTGCTACAACATTTCTCTAAAGAATATTGTGTGCCACGACTGGTATCACCTGCATGTGTGTGTTACAGTAACTGTATTAAATGCTAGGTGTGAGAATGGCAGGACTGTTATTAAAACTGAAAATAACTAACAATCTTGTACATGTAGAAGCAGAATCTATAAATGTACATGCATACTTTAATCATTACTAGTTACTACTAACTCACAGTTAATGATGACTCTGCACTGCTAAACGATTAGATGATGTAACATTCAAAAAACTGGCAAGGAAATTTAGGCAACCTACAGTAGATAAGGGAGGAGCATAAGTGTACATGTTCAAATTAGAGTAGACTCAGAACAACTCATTTCCACCAAAATATGTCGCCATATAATGTGTATGGTAATAATAAATGTAAATTTTAGTTAAAATCGACTGACATGTAGGCTATTTCAAAGTTAACTATGTACATGTACAAGAATATTAAAGATAGGGTAATACTGATAGGATTGACCAGTATGAGTAGCGACAGCAAATAAATTGATTACTATTAGAAAAGGCTCTAGAATGATCAATTTATTCATGCAAGTTGCAAATGCAAGCCTGTGTCAGTAAATATTGTCATAATAGTGTTGAATAAAGTGAGAAGTATTGTATATAGTGTGAGTGCAAGTGCATGCCACTAACATAAACTGAGTGTCATAGTGTGAATGAACAGCAAAATTTATTTCAGGCTAAATGAGATAAATTTCATCAAAATTATAATTATTAGAAAATGATGGATTCAAAGTTTCACTTAAACGCATATTAAATGTGTACATGTAGACACCATGGAATGCATGTGATTATTAAGTCACAGCTTAGGCAAGCCTTGTATGACTTGTTGGATTAATTCATTTATTTATTTTGAGCATTAGGGTGCATAGCATACACATGCAAGGTAAAAGATGTAGGACATGTACACTTAAGGGCGTGAGTGGAGGGAAGAAAATTATACAATAAAATCAAGCTGACCTGTATCTGCAAAAGCATTGCACAGCTGAAAGCTGTACCATGCCATAGTCAGCTTTGTCCTTTAATTTATATCACACATAAAATTACATGCCATATTCAATAATTTTACTATGTAAAAATTAGATCACAAAATTTTGAAACCTAAATTTCTACCACATTAATTTCATACTATGGTGACGGCATTAACATAAATTTCTGAGTGTGCAATATTGGTACCTGTAATATCTGATACAGTAGTATGTGTAACTATATACAAAGATCAAGTGTTTATAATAATTAGCTCAGGCTACTGATATTCGCATCATGTGTGAATTTGGATGTTTACCAGTAGTTACACTTGGCATTGCTATTAAATTTTTCTTTCTCAAAACAATAATTATTTATAATTTATGAAGACAACATATGAACAAGATAATTTTGGTAAAAAACTTTAATTAACCATTGGCAATAGTTAGCCAACTACACTTACAGTCTGGTCATAAGAGACTTGCTTTTCAGTGATATACCTCACGTTTTTTATA